AACCACCGACCCCGGCGGCCACACGCGGCGCGCACGCGGCCCCAGGCCGGCCCGAGCCCGAGGAGTGCGCCCCACGCTCTCCTCGGGGCCCCCGCGCCACAGCAGCCCGGCCTCGGTCCCCAGAACCCACTTAGCGCCTCTGGGCAAGACCCAGACATGCGGCAAAATCCCAACAGAAGGTACCCCTACCACCGCCTCAGCGGCCACGACCGCCGGCTCCGGTCCGGTGACGATCTCGCGAGAGAAGAGCTCGAAATCCCGCGGTCCTAGAGACCTGAGTTAAAGGGAAGCGTGGAGGCGAAGGAGGGGGCGGGGCACAGGGGAGGGCGGGGGCGGGGTGAGAGGCCCGGAGCTGGGAAGGAGCAGGGAAACGAGGCCCCGAGCTCCCTCATGTCAGGGTGCCTGAGGCTTACGCAGACTTTCCAGCTCCTGCATTGGGTTATCTTCTTTCCCGATTCTCCTGGCCAGGGTTCACTCCAAGCCAACCTCGCCCATGTATAGAAATCACTTTTCAGATATTCTGATGGGGAACTTGCTTCTTTGTCAAACGATTATGTAAAAGTTATCTGTAAACAGCCCCACGTTGTGTAAAGAATTCAAGTCCACCGAGGGCAGCGCCTTTAACTGTTGTTCACCATCGTGTTCCTGATGCCTGCCACAGCCTAACCTCGCAAATGAAGATTCATGGAATAGATGAAAGAAACAGATGTAAGGCACAATTATTTGTGAAGAAGTCTGTTATTTTTAGACCACTCTCATTATTAAAATGTGCTTCCTGATGATGCATTTAATATTTCCTTATGATTTTATGCCTGATCTTAGAGCAGCACAGACCATGTCTAATCACTCTCGACAGAATTTCAAATATTTGAAGAGCACAACCATATTTTTTCTGTGTTCTCATGCTAAATCTCAAGGAATAGGCAAGGTCATCTCGTAGAAGGTGATCAAAGAAGGCCTCTGATTTTTTGCCTAGGGTGCTTAAATAGTCTCCCATTCCTTCTCCTTACTTCCAGGCTCCATCCATCCTTCTAAAATGCAAATCTGATTTTGTCACGCTCCCCTGCTTTTAATCCTTCAGTGGTCTCTGATCACCTTCTGGATTATTTCTAATTTCTCTGCATAGAAAGAGGACCCGGCAGGATCTGACCCTGACATACCTTGTCACATTCCTAAGCACAAAGCATACAGCCCAACAGTCCTGCAGGAACTGGTCTCCCTTTGCTTATGCCTGGGACGCTCCACCTTAAAGATTAAGCTCAGGCATCCTGTATTAGTTTCCTATTGTTGCTGTAACAAATCATCACAAATTTTGTGGCTTAAAAGAACATAACTTTATTATCTTACAATTAATGGAAGTTGTAAGTCTAAAAACAGATGCTCCTTCTTTGTGTATGATCCTGTAACATATTTATAGGAGGTGTATGCCTCTACAATAGTGCTAACAATATTAAACTGCATCATAAATTTTCTACTCTGCGTGTTCCACAGGTTCAAACTCCTTGAGAGCTGCCTGGGTCTTGTTGTTCTCAATATTTCCTGCACCCAGCACAGCGCCTGGCACAAAACAGACCCTCAATTTATGTTGGTAAATTAATTATCTATTTGATACCCACAACAACTCTGAAGAGACAGTGTTTATCTCCCCATTTTTTCCATTCACACTGTCATTTCCATTCAGCCGAATACCCACTAGGAATACAACTGTAGTTATACAGGTTGTGTTTATTATTCATTGAAGTGAGTGCAAACACACCATGAGGAATCACAGAGCGTCTTAGTTAAGGATTGTTAGGAAAAAACCTATCATAGAATTTGGGCTTTGATTGAGTGACTAAAGGAGGGTCTAAGAAAGGGGTTTGCTCTGGATTGGATGCTGTCCAAAAGTAAGGACAATTCTGTGATTGGATAGCTCAGTAAACCGTATGTATAGGAAAAGAGGCAAAAGGATGAAGCTGTAATTAGTAAAGAAGTAGCAGTCACTCATTTTGGCCGAGAGAGAGTGTTTGATATTTTGTGGGTGGCACAGTGACCTTGTATTTATCTAGGCTTAGACAAAATTAGGCAGTGGCTTGCTTTGTTTCATTTTATCATAGTCTCCAAGTAACTGTCTGAGATTGGTATTCGGTGAAATTGTTTGTCTAACAGGAGAATAACGTGGCCTGCCTTTGAGGACAGGCCAGCCTCTGAATGTCAGGGGCTGCACTTTTTTCTTTCTCAATACACTTCTTCACTACCATACTTGATTTGTCACGAAGTGCCACAGTGCCAGGCTTGTTAGGCACTGGATATACAACAGTGAACAACACAGACATGGTCTCTGCCCTCAGGAAGCTTAAATTTTACAGATGAGGCTGATATTCCAAAAGATTAGGTAATTCACTGAGAGTTTTGTAGTAAGCGGCAGAACCAGGACCAGAATTACAGTTTGTCCAACTCTGTATCCATGCCCTCTCCATCACAGCAGACTGCATGCCCTTCTGAGGCTCAGGCCGTCTATTCTTATCTACAGGCTTTTTTTTTTTTTTTTGCAACTGTTTATTTTTCATCCACCTTATTTCCATTCTCTGTGTAAAAGTCCATGGAAGAACAGCTTAAGACTACTCAGTGGTTGTGCCTATTCATCCAATGGCCTGAGCAGTGGGAGTCGCAGACCAGTCTTCAGTGGTGGGCTGAGCACTCCAGTCTTTAGCAGAGAACTGCTAGATAGGCACAGAGGGCACTTGCACCTTTAGGCCAGTCTGAAAACTCAGGTTGAGTAGCAGTAAATTTTGGACCTGAAATTCCTCCTTGGTCACAGCCTTTTCCACAGGGGCCTGCTCTTCCTTTTCAGTCTCTTCAGGATCTCTGTAGAAGTAGAGATCAGGCACGGCCTCCTTGGGTGTTCTCAGGAGATGCTGCCACACATGTGCAGAACTTCCCAGACCAGCATGCACCACATCAGACCTGCTGAGTGCACTCCCTTCTGGTTGCATGGGATGGTGACGTCCACATAGTGCAGAGGAAAATCTGTGTTATACAGACCGATAGTAGGCAAGTTAACATAAGACACCTCGTGAGAGGGTGGTAGTCAGCCCCGGGATCAGTAACCACCAGAATACACAGCTCCCTGAAGGCTGCCTGGATCTAGTTAGTGAAGATTCCAGGAGTGAAGCACCCAGCAATAGGAATGGCTCCAGTGGCAGCAGCAAACTTCAGCACAACTCACTGGACAAAATTCCTGGTGGGTATAACACTGACATCAGCTGGGTTTTCAATGGCGACAATGGCATGAGCTGCCAGCCGAAGCTTCTTTCAGGTTCTCTTCAGATTTATGAGGTGATGCCATCACTTTTCCTTTTGTAGATGTACTGTTCCATTTGGAGGTCAAGGTTGGTGCCACCTAAGTGGGTTCTGCTGCAGGGAGTTTGAGGACATCCTCCTCCTTCACTTGCAGGACGTCAAAGGCTCCAGACATTGTGAAAGTTTTCCTATAAGTTACAACAGGGAACTCAGAACACTGCCATATGGACCTTTCTCTAGTTAGTGCTGAAAGGCCACAGGCATTTGATAAATGACATACTCATGTGGCAGAAAGCACCTGTATCTCTCTTCCCGCTTCCCACCCCTCAACACTAAGATCTCGAGACGTCGCAAGTAGGTGCTTGGTGTCAAATGTCTCTGCCACAAGCCTAGGATGAGCTTGCTAGGATTGGTCTCAGAGTGGGATAATATTCGCAAAGTACACCGCAAAGAAACTCATTTTGCACTTTTTATTTAATCCTCAAATCTCACCTTGGAAAAATGAGTTCTCTTGTCCTATAGTCCTTACATTCAGGATATCTGTCCCTATTCAAATCTTAGCTTTACTGTGTTTTTACAAACTTAAATTCTGTGTGTTTGACCTTGGTATTAAAATGGAATTCCTCAAAGGACTAGATGACTGTGACCTCCTAGAAAGTTACAGGTTCATTTTCCAGATTCATTATCCACAAACTCATCAAAAAAAAATTTAGGGGCTGGCCTGGTCGCATAGAGGTTAAGTGCTCGCGCTCCACTGCCGGCAGCCCGGGGTTCCGATCCCGGCTGCACACTGACACACCGCTTGTCAGGCCATGCTGTGGCGGTGTCCCATATAAAGTGAAGGAAGATGGGCATGGATGTTAGCCCAGGGCCAGTCTTCCTCAGCAAAATAAAAAAGAGGAGGATTGGCAGATGTTAGCTCAGGGCTGATCTTCCTCAAAAAAAAAAAAAAATCAGTTGTATTTATGTACACTAGCAATGAACATGTGATGCTGAAGTTAAAAATATGATACGATTTACAATTCCTCAAAAAATGAAAAACTTAGGTAAATCTTACAAAACTTACATGCTGAAAACTCCAAAATGCTGATGAAAGAAATCAAAGTAGATCTAAACAAGTGGAGAGACATGCCCTATTCATGGACTGAGAGACTCAACATAGTAAAGATGCCAGTTCACCTCAAATTAACATATAAATTAATGCAATTTCTGTCAAAATTCCAATAAGACTTTTTTTTTGTAGTTGTAGAAAAGATTATTCTAAAACTTATATGGAAAGCAAAGGAAATGGAATAGCTAAAACAATTTGGGA